CATTTCTCCATATGATCAATTATAATGATAGAAATATTAAGTCAAACCAACCACTTGGATGAAAAGAATAATCTATTAAGGTATGTCAGCAACCTTACATTATAACTTCCTCTAAGGCTATGTTCTTGCTTAGCCTGCAGCAAGTCCCAGCCCTATAATCCTACTCATACCATACTGGATAAAAGAACTGATGAGGAAGAAAGTATTCAGTAAAACAAAACTCAAAGATTAATAAGAATACTGCCTTAATTCAAAGCCTGAGGTTTTCTAGGCTTCTCTTTTGAGTTGATGGAGAGGAGTCAACTAGTCATATAATGTAAACTTTGGATATTTATAGCTCCATAAATCCCCAACAGGATGTCATTTCCCAAACTATTCCTCACAATTCAAGTTCTGTTTCCCTTAACAAAAAATAATAAAGATAAGAATATATGACCACTAGCTAGTTCTAAACAGAAGCTTGGGAGCCTGTGATTTTACACTGATGTGACTCAATCTGGTGGCTCATATTAGTGAACCAGAGCCAAGCACTACATGTGATTGGGATTCAGTAAGTTGTTGATGCTTTATTGCAGTGAGAATCAGAGACCATCACAGAAATTCTACCATTTTCTGAAGTGATTGCTAAGTTATGTACCTGCTATAATCCTTGAACCAGCAACCTTTGTAGCTGATGCCACATAGAGAAATTCAGCACTTTCCACCTCTCTCATTGGGAAGGTTCTTCATTCTTTCCTCCTCATCTACTTCCTTGGCCCATTACTCTTCTCTCAATTCATCTTTCCATTTTTTCATGTTATCTCATTTTCCTATTCCTAAGACCCAATAATGATACTCATTCATACTGTAAGCATTGCTTAAATGAATTTTCCAGATCACTGAAGCTTATTCTTTTAAAAGCTAAAATCTTTTAAAATTACTTTAACCATTTTGCTGGGAGTTTTAAAAATGTGCTATTTTCTCCCTTTATTTCTTAAACAGGGTATACACCATATACTGTAAAATATTCTTGATTATGCAGGCTCATCAACCTAAGCATCCCCTAAGGCACTTTTGAGAAGTCTAGAACTCTGTTTTCCCTATACCACACAGCTCCAGTTCACTGAATATTGCTACTTCATTTCCAATCTCATTTTTATATAGTTCCATATTTCCTCTTATTGTCAGGAAGAGCTTTTACTTTTCATTGCTAGCACTGTATCTGACTTTTGCTTCTTCCCCTCCTACTCTCTAATCTTCTATGGGGTGAACCTTGTGTGAGAAAAGATTTTCTGATACATGGTCACTAGTCTTTGGGTAAGGGTCTAGGATCTATCTTGTGAATAAAGCTCATCAGATTTGTGGCAAATGTTTCAAGAGACCCTATTTATTTAAACCCGGGTTTGGGACCATATGAATGATAAGTGAAGATAAGAAAAGTATACTGAAGTTCAACATCTGGATAGGTGGGATGTCACTGTCATATGTATTCATATAGACACATTATTTCCTAAACAGTTTGTATTCATATTTTAGGAAGCACTATACTTATACAATTTATTATCAAAATGCATTTAAAGTGTAGACAAAAAATGAGACAGAAAAGGGCAAAGCACTGACTTTTGCAAGTTAGAGATCATCCAATTACTGAAGCTTCCTCAGACCAATTCCTGTGTCTGCCCTTTCATTTTACTACCTTCATCTTAACAAGACACTCATTTGCCATAAACTAAGTGATCCAGCAGCAGCATCACAAGCTCAGCCTGTCATTCTTCCTTCTTAGGCAGCATTAACTGCACCATCTCTTAAGCTCCCTTTTTTCCTCATAAGAGAAAGTAATGTCTTGTATTCAGTTATCACAAATTCCTTTATTTTTTTTTAATATTTATTTTTCAGTTCTCGGCGGACACAACATCTTTGTTGGTATGTGGTGCTGGGGATCGAACCCGGGCCGCACGCATGCCAGGCGAGCGCGCTACCGCTGAGCCACATCTCCAGCCCACAAATTCCTTTAAAATAATATGGTTGTAGCATTTTTTGTTGTCACACTGTTTAAAATACTAATAAGTTATATTAGTGATCCAGATTTTTTGCCCCAATGTTTTATCATAGTTGCTATTTTCTTCCTTTTTAAAAATAAATGTTGTACATATTTCAGGTATATAATATGGTGTTATAGGATATAACTAGATAGTAAAAAGGTAACTACAGTGCAGCAAATTAGCATATCCATCATCTCATATGTTACCCTTCTTTTGTTTTTGCAGCAAAAAATAGTTAAAATCAACCCATTTAGCATGAATCCCATACACAGTAAAATTTTATTACCTACAGTCCTCATGTTGTACATTAGATCTTTTTTCATTTTCTTAAAGTGAAATCTGAGTGTCATCAATGGCTCTTCCCTCAGTCTCCCCTGTTAAATCAGACAACTGGCATGTGTGGTTCATTCTACATTCAAGATGCATTTTACCTTCTTCTCAATAGAGTCTGCCAAAATTCTAATGCATGGCTCTGGCATACTTCTGTTTTCCAAACATCCTTCTCACCTCCCTCTACCCTAGCCCATCCCAAATATAATACAGTAGTCACCTACTCAGTCATTGCCAGGCTCACAATCTCTACTTCCTGAATACTGTCATTGGTTAGCTCTCGAAATATTTCTTGCTTCCATTTGAATACTATATTTTCACCTTAGTTCCTTTTATAGCACTTCTTACCACCCACCTCCTCCTGTTCAATCTTTACATTAGCACCTTCCAGTTTTATAAGCTCCATATAGTTTTGTCAGTGCAACTAAAAAACTATATCAGAATATTCTCTTTTTTTCATCTGTGTACTCCAGGGTTCTATTCCGGGTCATACCTTAATAATACTAACTCTTGAGAAATTTTCTAAATGCCTGGGAATTTGGTGACTATTCTGTTAATTTAATTTACTCAACTATTTTCCTTTTTATATTATTTCCCAAAGCCTCTAGAAAAAGAATTACCAGATTTTTCTTGTTATTGTTCTCCATATCCTCCATCCCTCTCCCCACCTTTCTCAGATTGTAATTGTCTAGTATGGAGCTATGTACTGAGTTAAACTGATCCCATTTCCCAAACTCTACAACTCCTGGCTTCTTCTCACCAGTCCATCCTTCTACCTCTCCCAAAGCTTTCCAATTAGCCAGTAGAATCCCCATTTCACAGTATGTAAATTCCCTTTCACCTTCAAGTCATTCAGAAAAAAATTCTCTGTAAATCTGGGTCTCCCTTAAGGACACTGCTAGACTCCTGACTCCTGCAACTCTCTGAAAGGAAAGGATCCATTCCTCCCCAGAAAAAAACACCTCAGGATCAAGAGTAGGGGAGGATCTGCTTGCTCCCCAAAGCCATTAACAGACCAATGCTTTACCATGCTCCTTTCAGGCCCAGGACCTCTAACTAGACTTCCTCCCCAGTTCCTCATCTCTCAGTCCATGTGGCCAACCCATTTAACACACCTAATTTCCAGATGCTTGTCCTCTTTATTGCCAACATTCTCTTATGCTCACTTTAGTTGCTCACCTTCTAGACTCCACCTGAGACCCTCTCATAACCTGGGACTACTTCCCCTACAACTTCCCACCCTTCCTGCTTCCTAAGGCCATGCCAGCCCTCCGGCCTCTCAGTCAGAGGACTTCCTGATTCCGGAAGCATTCTAAACCTTCAGTTCTTCCATGTATCCCAATCAACTGGTCCATCCTGGACTCTCTTCCTTCCCTACCCAGCTTGAGTTTTGTGGCTGACATTCAGAATTATTCTTTTACTAGTACCTTCTGTTCCCTACCAGAAATCGTTGCCTAAAATTCATAAACCAACTATCTGGAGAGCCTCCGACTACTTCCTCTAACCCCACTCCCTGGCTATAATGCTGTGTGTCTTGCTTAGCCTGCCTGTAGTCTCAACTGAATTTCCTCCTAAGTGCCAGTCCATTCACCTACTTTTGCTCTGGCCCAGCCCATTCTCTTCCAAGCTTCCATTCTGAATAAATGAAATAAAAACCTTGCATTTCTATTATAATGAATTGCTTTAAAATGCTTTTGAATATTTGTGTTACTTTATTCATGAGAATTTATGTCATGGAAGCTTAAGATAATAATGCAGCTAAAAAACAAACTGAGGTTCATGGAAGTTGTGTGGCTCACTCAAGCTCTCACAATCTCGAAGAGTGAATTGATTGGTCATCATAATTATCAGAATATATTTTCTCTCAATCCATCTGAGATATCTATGTTATGCCAAATTATTTGATGTGCTAGTTGTGGGATGAATAGACAATAAACATAGTAATCAGAAGACCAGTATTAAAAGGTACCATTGTGAAGGCAGGGACCTTGAGATCAGTTTTCTATATGCTACCAGTCATTGCAGAAGCAAACATACAAGTTGCAACTCTTGGCTCAAAGAAAAAAATAAATCCAATCAAACAGGTGCAGAGAAACTACAAGCTAGCCAAGCTGCTTTGTGCTCTCTGGGCCAGCTCTCAAAACCAAAGGCAATAAATGAAGAGAATCATAGCATTGCAAGAGCAACTGAGCCCAAGATGGTAAATCAAGGTAGAGAAGAGAGCAACTGGAACTTACTAGAGGAAAGTCCTTTCATGCATAACTAGTTTGCATTGGAAGAGAAAACTAGTATGTAACATGCTCATTTCTGAACAAAATAAAACAGACTGCTTTCTTCTTCATCCTACACTATCTAGATATTTTTGACATAGTAAAGACAATAAATACAATCAAGTACAAATCCTAGTGGATGCACAGGCAGTAATAAGGTTGAACAAAAACCCTAAATAAATTTTTAAACAAATTTTATGAGTTTTTTTAATTAAAAAAATCAAAAGACATGCCTCTATAAATCTTTGAGATTCTTGGATAAAAATGGATATTACACATTTGTATTTGTATATATCTCTAACACAACTTATATTGTTATCCGCCCTCGGAATGCTATCACCCAACAATCCTGCAAATATTTAGCAAAATAATCACTTACCTTATAGAAGATCAAAAAAAGGTCATCCAGTTTCCCATGTAAATCACCTGGAATTCAAATGAAAATTCACCATTCAAAAACATATAAGATGTAAAAGTCTATTTCATAAAAGACAGATGTTCTCAAGTGTTTTGGGGGGCTGGGTTTTGACCCTATGATGATATTAATTCAATAGATAATTTGTTTCCACAGTGCTTTCTTCTCCTTTAGAGGGACAACATCTGGTACTGCAAAGACCTGTTCTCTAGCCATTTACGCAGGGATTCACTTACTCCGAATCAAGCAATATGCCAAGGATTGTACATACATTATCTTGTTTAATCCTTATAACCACTCTATGAGTATTATTTTCATCATTCTCATTTTCCAAATGAAGCTGAGAGTAGGTAAGCAACTTGTGCAGTTACTCAGCTACCCAATATCAAATGTGGAATTCAAACCCAACGTTGCCTCCTTTCAAAACTCAAGCTTTTAGTGATTACTCTGTACTGCCTATGCTATAAATCCAGAAGAGCAGCAACAGTATCTATCATAGTTAATATTCAATCCCCAAAGGCCTACCACAGTACCTGAATTGCAGTCACTCAACAAGTCACTAAATGCATATATATATATATATACACACACACACACACACACACACATATATATACATACACACACACATACACACATATATATGTGTGTGTATATATATATATATTTTTTTTAAGTTGTTGATGGACTTTATTTATTTATTTATATGCTGTGCTGAGAATCAAACCCAGTGCCTAACACATGCTAGGCAAGCACTCTACCACTGAGCCATAACCCCAGCCCCTAAATGCATAATTTTTTAAAAACATGTTTCAAATATGCTCCAGCAGTAGCATCTGAAATTTAAAAATTGTGAAGAAATAGTTGACATTCTTTTGATAAGAGCTATAAGAAATAAAAACAAAAGCGAACTAAAGGAAACCATATGAATATATGAAGCTATTAATTAAAAAATTAAGAGTGATTGTGAATATTCAAAAACCCCATATGAATAAATATTTCTAGGAAAAACATCTATCTTTTATAAACTCTGCTCATGAAGTTTTATTTTTTGTATCTAACTTAATTACCATAGTATTTAATTTAGGAATACTTTTACTCAGTTTGTTTAAAACCCCACAACCAAGATTTATCAAATATGCACAATGGAAGACTTCAATTACACTTGGAATAATAAAATTAAAATTCTATATCACTATCTCTTATATATAAGATAACTATAATTTTAACAATAAAATTAAGAGCATATTAATGTTATTGAAGGCTTAAATCTCATTACTTTCATAACAATCTCACTCCAAAGCTAAGGAAATAAAGATGGAAGAAATTTTTACTTATCAGTTTAATATATTTTGTTCATTATTTTATTTTCTAAACTTTCTTCAGAGTGACTCATCAAAGATTTGAGTATACTGGACTATAGTAGCTAGAATGCTCAAAAATGAGCTTGTTTCAGCATATTAAGAATTGAGGTTAGGTGTGGTGATGCATGCCTATAAATCCCAGCAACAGGAGGATTGCAATTTCAAAGCCAGACTCAGCAATTTAGCAAGGCTAAACACACAGCAAAACCCTGTCTCAAAAAATAAAAAGGGTTAGGGGTGTGACTCAGTGGTGAAGCACCCCTGGGTTCAATCCACGGTAACAACAACAAAAAAATGGGGAACCCTGGGTTTGATCCCCAGCAAAGGAAAAAAAAAGAGTTGAGGCTATAAAAATATTTGGAATTTCTAGTTGGACAATAAAAGAAAAACTTATGCCAGGAAAATATAAATACAAAGACATTTCTACTGCAAATAAAAAATGAGTGCAGAATTGATTACCATTTATAACTATAGACTAAAAAATTCCTATATTTCATGCATGCTGAGAACTATGGGGTATATTTAGATGTACATGTAAAAATACATCTTGAAATTAAAATGTGGGATAGCTGGGTCAAATGGTGTTTCCATTCCCAATATTCCAAGAAATCTACATACTGCTTCCATATTGGCTACACCAATTTGCAGTCAACATATGAGTATACCCAAAGGACTGAAAAACAACATACTACAGGGACACAACTACATCAATGTTTACAGCAGCACAATTCACAATAGCTAAACTGTGGAACCAACTTAGTTGCCTTTCAACAGATGAATGGATAAAAAAAAGTGGCACATATATACAATGGAATATTACTCAGCAATAAGAGAGAATAAAATCATGGCATTTGCAGGTAAATGGATGGAGTTAGAGAAGATAATGCTAAGTGAAGTTAGCCAATACCAAAAAACCAAATGCTGAATGTTTTCTCTGATATGAGGAGGCTGATTCATAGAGAGGGGGAGCATGGGAGGAATAGACAAACTCTAAATAGGGCAGAGGGGTGGGAGGGGAAGGGAGGGGAGCATGGGGTTAGAAATGATGGTGGAATATGATGGACATTAATATCCAAAGTACATGTATGAAGACACAAATTGGTGTGAATATACTTTGTATACAACTAGAGATAAGAAAAATTGTGCTCTATATGTGTAATATGAATTGTAATGCATTCCACTGTCATACATAAATTTAAAAAGTAATTAAAAAAGAAATTAAAATGTGGTAAATTGTAAAATATTTTCTCTTCCTTTATTGATATTATCTTAAAAGAGGATGGTTTTGGAAATATAGTTTCACTTTAAATTTTATTTTAAATGATAACCAAATTTTCAAAGTTCAATTGGTTACTAAAGATAAAGTAATAATTATTATTTTGTAATTAATTATTACTTAAAGACAAAGTAATAATTCCTATGTTAAGAGAACCTATTGATCTTGGCTTTTCCTTCTACCAATGATGCTACATAGAATAAATCTGGAAATAAATGCCCAAGATGTGGATTCCTTTAAAAAAAAAAATGCAACAGTTTAATCCATCCATTCTCCAGTCTGTCTCATGAGGAAAACTGAAACATTAGCTAGACAAAGTGAATGATGCAAACTAGTAGAGCAAATATGGGGTTGCCTCTAACTTGGGATACAGATGTCCTAATTTTTAATTCTCATCCTGACACTAGGGGTAGGGATGTAGCTCAGTGGTAGAGTGCTTGCCTGGCATGCACTGGGACCTGGGTTCAATCTCTAGCACAAACAAACAAACAAACAAGGGATAAACCAGACCATTGCTGTATCTTTCAGGTCATTTTAGGCACAGATAATTCTGCAATGGCAACTAGAGGTATGATAGAAGTACCTGGAAACAGACCCCACTCTCTGTTTTAGCTACTATTTATATTCTGATAGCAAGCCTAGTCCTGGATTCATAGGTTTCCCAGATTGGCATGACTTCCTGAGTCTTATTATCCTAAGTTCTTTATTTCCACGAAACTTAAGGCCTGGTAAGCCCTTAAATAAAAGACCCCCATACTGAGATGTACCGTGTGCTAGTCAGAGATGTGGTGGCCTGATTAGGTTGGAATTAAACCATTATAGTCTCTTTAAAAACTTGAGTCAGGGCATGTTATGAGTTACGTATTGCTATATCATCAAGTTCCTGTCACCAATATCAGATGCTAGAAATGGAAATGGTTTAATTAGATTGTCAAATCCACTTCTACCTGCCAGAGTAAGAGAAACACAGGCTAAAAATTGATTTGGAAAATAACAATCACTACTTTGTAACCTAAAGGCTTAATTAGAAGTTAAGGGAATTGCTGTTCCTTCCACGCACTCCACTCCCAGACAGTTGCAAGCATGCTGGGCACCAACTGTGATGAATTTCAATGTGTACTGTTTCTTGAAGCAATATCCTGGCAGGCTGGCCTATATGATAACAAAATCTCAAATCTTGTTATTTAGACGAACAAGAAACAGATTTCTGGGACATTCCCACTCTTCTAAAAGCTGCAGAGACTAGTTGGAAAAAATCTAAAACAGCAGCCAAGGGCAGAAAAGAATTTAATCTCCATCCTGCCTTGGGTTTTTCTCTTCCCAGCATAAGTGGCATGCAGAGGCCTACCTAGAAAAAGCAACATGGAACAAAGATAATGAGAGTTAGTCAGAGGGCAAAGAATGCTTATTCTACCCATGGGTGGTTTTCCATATTAAAATGTTGTCTGCCTTTATAAAAAGCTATGAGTTCTTTAATTTCTTACATAATTAATTCCTGCCAGCTGGTATGCACAACAAAGACAAGATAGGGAACAGTATTATCATGATAGATAATTCTATATTAACATTCTTCTCTCAACACAGTCCAATTTACACAGTTTTCTAGTTGGGCAAATGATGTAGGACCATGAGGCACTTAAATATTAACTTAACAATTTTGCTCTGAAACTTACCACAGACTGTTATCTCTTTGGAGGGAGAAGTTTTTACATGAGTGAAATTCGGCATATGCTTCAGGAGTTTCCTGGTTTCAAATAACACCTCTAAGACATAATGAGCATGAAGTATCTGCAGGGGGGAAGTAACGGAAATAGATATAAGAAACTAAGAAGAAAACTATAAAAGTGAAGCATAGGAGCACATTTTAGGTTGCTATACTTCAGGATAACCTCTAAATTTTTCTTAAATAGATTATTCTAGCATAGTATCTAGCAAATAAAAAGCCCTTAGTAGATATGTGTAACTGAATGAATGAATGGTTCTGAAGACATTTATATTCTCATATTCTTCATTGACACAATTCATTTTCAGAACATTTCTAATTATTCTTGGTCCTTAGAACCCAAGAGAAGTAAGGAGAAGCAAGGGGGCTCACTTGCCCTAGGGAAATGTTCAGACAAAATAATAATAAAAGAGAAGGAGAAAAAAAGGAAACAGAGAATGAGAAAGGGAAAGAAAAGCAGAATCTGGGGCTGGGATTGTGGCTCAGCGGTAGAGTACTCGCCTAGCATGTGTGAGGCCCTGGGTTGGATCCTCAGCACCACATAAAAATAAATAAAATAAAGGTACTTTGTCCAACTATAATTTAAAAAATTAAATTAAATTTTTTTAAAAAGCAGAATCTGTTGAAGAAGTGTTGCTTTGCATTTGTGAGGATGTCCTGCCACCTGCAATGAAAAGTAGATGTTGCTGGGCTTGGAGATCTCACAAGGCAGCCAGACAGGTTCCAAGGAACTCCTGAGTCAAGCCTCCCAGATGTGGCTCAAATATTTGGTGTATAGCCTTGAGAATGCTTAAAACAGAAAGCATATTTATATAAAAGTCTAACAATAAAATATATTTGAAACCCAAATAAAACACTTGGATTGGAGCTGGGATTGTGGCTCAGCGGTAGAACGCTCATCTAGCAGTGTGCAAGGCTAGTTCGATTCTCTTTACCACATAAAAATAAATAAAGGCATTGTGTCCAACTACAACTAAAAAAAAAATTTAAAAAAACACTTGGATTATCTCCTATTTATAATTATTAATCTCACTGTTCTAGTGTTATAGTGTTGATGGCATAAGTGTTTTGCAGATTTACTGATTTTTCCCCTTGACTTCTTTTTAATCCAATGTGTCTTCCTCTGTCTTTTTAAATTATAAAATATTCCAAATATTTACTCCAAAATAACAGAGATGTGACCACCACAAAAATTTAACAGATGTTAACACAACTTTAAAGTTTAGGACTATTTAAACTATGCTGGCTGTTCAATATGGCAGGCACTAGCTATATGGGGCTATTGGAAACATAAAATGGGGTTCTTCTAACTTGAGATATGCTCTAAGAGCAAATTTCATACTAGGTTTCAAGGATTTAATATGAAAAAAAGTAAATGTAATTTTTAATATAATCACATATTGAAATAATACTTTATATATTGAGTTAAATAAATTATTATTAAAATTGATTTCACCTTCTTGTACATTTTAAATGTGAATACTAGAAAATTTCAAATACATGAATCACATTTTATTTCTATTAGACAGAACTGGTTTATATTATTGCCAGCTGAGAAAGGGGTCATTGCTGAATATCTTTCAGATACTGCTCTGGGTATAAGGGAAAATAGAACCCTTTGGACTAATACTGTCTCATGGTGTCCTGAAATTTCCATTTTCATAACTTTTAAAATAAAATTTTACTTTTTATCCAAGATCCAAAAATATTTTATGTAAATTTTGAGAATTTTCATTATTATTGTTTTAAAAGAAACAAGAAGCAGGATTTGTAGCAATGTGAGAATTAGGAGGAAATAGAAAGTTCCTTGGATCTTGATGAGTGAGGAATTTCCTGCTCTTCTAAGACTTAATGGACTGCAAAGTCTTTTCCCCACAAAAGCATTCTAACTCCATTCAATCTACAACTTGAATCAAAACTTGATTGTGAATTTTCCTTCAGTCATATTTTAAAGGAACAGGCAAAATATTTTTTAATGGCTTATTTTAAGTTCACACATTTAATCTAGTGATTTTTTTTTAAATATTCATTTATTTATTTATTTTTTGGCAGGCACAACATCTTTATTTGTACGTGGTGCTGAGGATCGAACCCAGGGCCGCGCACATGCCAGGCGAGCGTGCTACCGCTTGAGCCACATCCCCAGCCCTAATCTAGTGATTTTTAATGCTGCTTCTGAGTAACCTTGTCATTGTAGCTTTTCTGGTCCATTTGTAGTATTAATCAGAGTAATTGCTGTCTGAAGAGGATGATTTTTTTTTAAGTTAAATTAATATTCACTGAGAATATCTTGTAACAATAGAAAATTCTCAGTATTAAAATAGTTTTTCTGGATTCTCTTTAGGTTGAGTAAAATCACTTTATTAATTTTATTACTTGCCTGTAAGGCCATATTTCAGCAGCATTATAATCTTATGTTTACAACTACAATATTAAATATTCAAAACAGGTAAATCAGACATTTTTATATTTGTAAATATATTTGGATTAAATCATCTCTTAAATAAAATATTCACATTCTTTTAAAGGCATCAAAGGAGGGAAAATGCTACATTTTTCCTTTCTTTTTTTATTTATTTCTTACATTAAAATGCTACTATTAAAGGATATTTCTTTTTCAAAAAGTAGTTTTAAATGGATAAGATTCTTTTTTTTTTTTTTTTTTAGTTGAAATAAAAATGTGACATTAAAAAGGGATAGAACAAGCCAGGAGAGGTGGCACACGCCTGTAATCCCAGCGGCTCCGGAGGCCGAGACAGAAGGATTGCAAGTTCAAAGCCAGCCTCAGCAACGAGGCACTAAGTAACTCAGTGAGACCCTGTCTCTCAATAAAAATCCCAAAACAGGGCTGGGAATGTGGCTCAGTGGTGGAGTGCCCCTGAGTTCAAACCCTCATAGCACCCCCTCCATCCAAAAAAAGGGATAGAACAATGAAAAGTGACTTTCCCTTTTTCCCAGACCTCAATCCCCCATCCCTGTCCCCAGTAGCAGTCACTATTGAGAATGTTTTTAGTATCTTTCCCAAAAATATTCTACTTGTTTGCAAGTATACAGAATTAATATAACTACACATGAATATTCAAATGTAGGTATAAATATATAATCCTTTAAATAAAATGTGGTATATCCATATAAAGTAATATTATTCAGCTAAAAATAGGAATGAAGTACTAGAACATGCAACAAAATGAATGAACTCTGAAAACATTATGCCAAGTGAAAGAAGCCAGACATCAAAGGCCACATATATTGTATAATTTCATTATATGAAACATCCAGATCTGAGAAATCTGTAGAGACAAAAAGTAAATTAGTGGTATACTAATTCCCCAGGAGCTGGGGAAAGCAGAAAGGAAAGTGAATGTTAATGGATACAGGGTTTTGATGACAAAAATATTCTGGAAATAAGAGCAGTTGCCTGGCATCATGCACAGTCCCTGAGTTTGATCCCCAGCACCACACACACACACACACACACAAAAAAAAAAAAAAAAAACAGTTCTGGAATAGTGTTGGTTGAATAACATTTTAAATACTAAAAACCACTGAATCATGTACTTTAAAATAGTTTGAATGGTTGATTTTATGTTATATGAATTTTATTGCAATTTTTAAAGATAAAAAACATAGTCCTTGATTTTTTTTCTTACAATGGGAATATACTGTATACTGTGTTGAACCTTTTATTCTTTGAGTCTTTCCTTAATAATATAATTTTTCATATTTATAAAGTCAAAATTATAAAATTTTCCATTATAGCTCCTTGGATTGATGTTATATCTTTTTATCTCCTTGAACATATTAAGCATATTTATTTTAAACTCTTAGTCTAATAATGTCATTATCTGAATATGGGTTTGTTTCCATTATCTGTTATTTATCTGTTTGCTTTCATGCATCATGGACACTGTATATGAAAAACTGTAGAAATAATTTCAGGCCTATTTTTTTCCAGAGAGGATTTAAATTTGTTGTTGGCAAGTGACTAGGACCACTAGCTACGTAGGATAATCTCAATTCAATTTCATAAATTAGATGATTCAAAGCTATGCTTCAATCCCTGCAGAGCCAGCCTATTTCCAGTTCACTCTTACTCTGAGAGTATCCCTTTTATGTCCTAAATTGAGAAAAAGGGTTTAGGGGTGATATCAGAGACAATGATGTAGTGAGCTCCAAGATCCAATCCCTCCACAGAACTATTGAAAAATCAAACAAAAAAAAAACTGTCAGAATCAATTTTTGTCAGAGCTCTGAAATATCTTCGAGGTTTATAGCAGTCAAACACACACTAAATAAAGAAAAAGGAAACTTGACAATGTCTAAGCATAAGCATGATATTTTCCAAGACAGATTTGTAAATGGCCTGACCAAGCAGTGAAGCAAGGGTCCTAACAGAGTCAATCTGCAAAGACTGAGAGAAATTTCTTTTTTTCTTTCTTCCTTCATTTCGTAAGGAACTGAACGGACATTACAGAAACCACACACACAACTAGACCTAATAGACATGTATAGAATACTTACCCCAAAACAGCAGACTCATTTTTCTCAAGTACACATGGAAAATATTCCAGGATAGACCAGATGTTAAGTCACAATATAAGCCTCAATAAATTTAATTTTAAAAGACTGAAATGGTGCAAAGTATCTTCTTTGACCACAATGGAATGCAACTAGAAATCAATAACAGAAGCAAAACTAGAAAATACATTACTCTTATATACCAATGGAAAGGGAAAAAAACCCACAAGAGAAATTAGAAAATACTTTGAGATGAATTAAAATGAAAACACAACACACCAAAACATATGCAATATGGCAAAAGCAGTGCTCAGAGAGAAATTTATGACTGTAAATGTCTGCATTAAAAAAATTATTTCAAGGACAGAATAAAATAGTCATTATTATTGCTGTGTGTATATATGAGACTACATGACCAATGTGATTCTGCAACCTGTACACTCAGAAAAATGAAAAATTATATCTCATCTGATTCAAATGTATGATATGTCAAGATCATTGTACTGTCATGTGTAACTAATTAAAACAAATTAAAAAAATAAAAAAT